GCAAGTTACAAAGTATTCTTCCACTGATGGTGTGTTCGGAGAAAAAAAAGGACAGAGTAGATGTTTCTATGCTGATGTATGGTACGACCGTCTCATTCCACTGTTCAGGAATACTGCACAAGAAAGAAATAAGTCCAGAGCAGATGTCAGATTAGTTTATCCTTAAGCAAAATGTAGGAATTGGAGAGAGCATTCTGGATGCAGAGAAATAGCTACTCTCTCTCCTCCTTTTATAAGAACCCCCCCAAAAGCCTATATTATTTGCAAGCCAGTGTACGCCCTCATCAGTTCACCCTCTGCAACCGGTTGCTTATGTGGGCATCTACCAACTCCCATAAGTGATCCATCTGCATGAGAAATACAAGACAAGGGAACACTCAAAAGGCAGTGGCCATTTCTCCATGGCAGTTGCTGCTATAAGTATTGTTGCAAGTTCTCTCTGAGTGATGCGTGGCTCATGTGAGTCAATGGCCTGCAGCAGCTATTAAATGCTCTAATAAGCAGCCCCTAATTGTACACTTGTTACAAACGAAAGTTATCGCCTTCGCTCTCCATTTTGGTAATCGGCTGTTACGCTACAGGAAACAGATAACGTTCAATTAACCTATGGAAAGATTCTCAAACACTCTGCTGTCAGAATGCCTCCCCTACAACATGAAAGGGCTTCTGAAAACAGTACCTAAAAATCCACCCAAGAACACAGGTTATCGTTATTGAACTGAAGTGTTTCTTCAGTAGTGCTCAAGACACAAATGTCTCAGCCATGATAGCACACACCAACTAGCTGTGGAGGCCATCGCTTCTCTGCAGGAACAGGTTGCAGGATCCTGCATAGGACTACACTGTTAAACAACCAAAGAGCAGTGAAGAAATGAACAGAGACAAGTCCTTTAAATCACTGACAGCGATCTGGAAGTAAATTTTACTTAAGTAGTTATTTACATGTTCATTTTCTGTTCCAGGACTGTTTGTGTGGCTATTTGTGACTAAAAAGAGAAGCAACACACACACAGAGGGAAAAAACCCATCCTTCTGTCTGGGAATACATTGCAACATTTGCCCAAAGAAATATTTTAGAGTTTTCTTACTTGCTGCGTGAGATGCACAGCAAACACCGAATGCTGAGTGCTCTGCAAGCCTATCCTCATTGAATTATTATTGCATTTTATATTTTCCCCCTCCTTTTCTGTTCTCTCAAAATCGCTGATGTGGATTACGCTGAGAGACAGGCACTGTCCCAATCTCACCTAATGAGTTTAATGAATGTATTTATTGCTCAGTTATCCTGACTCTAACTAGCCCTTCTTGGCAACTAACACCCCACCCATCACCTATGTGCACTATTTGAGGAAATCTGTTTCAATGTCTAAGAAGTATGCATCTATGCGCTAAGTCTTTCAATTCTTGCTTATAACCAGAATTGAACTTTGTTGGTCTTGGAGGTGCCACTGGACTCAAACTCAGTGTTCACATCTGCTTGTTAACTCTTGTATTTGTATGCTAATTTACTGTTATTCACAGATCTTACCAACCCTTTTAATCCAATCTCAGCTATAATCGCCCAGTTACTTATGTATCCCTACTCAAACTAGCCTTTCCTGGCAATTCCGTGCACCCCCCCCCCCCCCCCCCCGGTAATGGTTGTTTCACTGTATCTGAAGAAGTGTGCATGCACACGAAAGTTTATCCAGAATTAAACTTCGTTGGTCTTAAAGGTGCCACTGGACTCAAACTTTGTTCACCTAATGAATGTTATAGCAGTACAGGGATATGACACACCACCTATATTGATTAAAATCTAGTTCTCCATGACGTTTTTGCCAGTTATCATTTTCCTTTAGAAATGAATATATTATTCTTCTAGTCACTGCTCAAGATCTATTGATCAGAGAAGGAGAGGAGAGGAGAGGAGAGGAGAGGAGAGGAGAGGAGAGGAGAGGCCAGCTACCTTGATGGCATATTCTATTACTCCATTCTTGACAAAGAATTCAGTGAATGGCTGCCCTGTCTTCCTCCTATTTATTTAAAACATTTATTAGCTGGCTTTATCACTTAAGAACATAAGAACATAAGAGATGCCAATGTTGGATCAGGCCAAAGGCCCATCCAGTCCAACACTCTGTATCACACAGTGGCCAGAAATACCAGGTGCCATCAGGAGGTCCAGCAGTGGGGCCAGGACATTAGAAGCCATCCCACTGTTGACCCCCCCAAGCACCAAGATGACAGAGCATCACTTGCCCCAGAGTCTCTATCTATACCTTGTGGCTAATAGCCACTGATGGACCTCTGCTCCATATGCTTATCTAATTCCCTTTTGAAGCCGTCCATGCTTGTCGCCGCCACCACTTCCTGTGGCAGTGAATTCCATGTGTTAATCACTCTTTGGGTGAAGAAGGACTTCCTTTTATCCGTTCTAACCCAACCGCTCAGCAATTTCATGGAGTGCCCATGAGATTCTTGTATTGTGAGAAAGGGAGAAAACTTCTGGAACTCAAGGCAGCTTACAATATAAATTAAAAAAAATTAAAACCACTCATAATGTGCAGATGTGTCAGCATCTGGGAAAGTGATATATTGTGACTTAAGTATTGTGGGTCTGGATTTTTACTTTCCCCCCTCCTATTATAACTACCTAGATTTTTGCAATGGAAGTAGAAAATTTAAGGCACCCTAAATTTTTTAGCCAAAATAATTTTTTGACTGCCATACTCTTGAAACATGGTAACAATGTGCTTGTTTGTGTACACACCAAGTCCACCGGGTGTACGATTGTAACGTTTTGGCAAAGGAAGGTGTTTCAAATTTTTTCCAGTGTAAACTTTTAAAGGAAATCATAAAACTACGATTAAAAACACTCCCTTCCCATCCTCATGACATACTTTGCTTTAAAGGAAGTCATTTAATTGTTTTTTTCCCTGTCACGTCCAATAATCTAAAAAGATATGTCACTGCCAATGCATCACATGAAAAAAATTCAAAAAGCAAAGCAAGTTTTCCTATCATTCAACCCCGTTATAGGAAATACACCGGTGTTAACATAAAAGCACTACAAAAGGCAGACTTATGTTTTTGCTCAGAAACCAATAAAGGGTAACCAAACACAATTATCTCCTTCCCTCAGAGGCTGCAAAATCCAATGCTGCGGCTAAAATAAACTCCATCGGAAATTATACCATCCAAAATGAAAGAAACAGTAAACAGTGTTTCATTAAAATGTGCTCCCTAATACGGTTTTCTTAAGATTAACAAAACCTAATACAAACACCTAATGGTGCCAACTGCACAGTAAATACAAATATCCCCAAACTGAATAGTTACGCAGGGACTCATCCTCTTGGGAACTCTGGAATCTTCAGAAGCATGGGGATTAAAAAAAAAAAAAGGCAGGCAACTGATTTCGAATATACAGTACACTCAAAAATAAAAATAGTTCTAAAGAAACATGATATATTCACATATGAGTTGCCTCCAGGTGGGGCCTGGAGATCTCCCACTATCACAACTGATCTCCAGGCAACCAAAATCAGTTCTCCTGGAGAAAATGGCTGGTTTTGAGGGTGGACTATCCATGGCAAAAAACCCTACTGTAAAACCCACCTTCCCGAAATCGCGCCATCTCCAAGCTCCAATCCCCAAATCTCCAGGAATTCCCCCACCCAAAGCTGGCAACCATACAAGTGTGCTAAACAGAAGATCCAAATTTCACCCACACATATTGAAGCCTTATACTGATAGGACACATCATCCCAGTTTTCCTACTTAGAACTGGAATGTTTCATCAGACAATACACAGAAGTGTCACCCCCTTCCCCTCACACTTTCTTCTGGCTTCATTTGCTACAAATGACCCGTAGTGCATAATGGGAAAAGACATGGGGGAAACAAAGGGAATCTCCCTCTTATATTTAAAACTACTCAACAGATTTTCACAGAACAATTAAAACAAGCCCCAGTGGTCTACCTTATTTTTAAAAATCATTTCCGCTTCCGAACTAATAACTGAAAGCTACAGATCTAACATGAGAGAGATTGACTCATTCAAGAAAGCCACGGTCCTTGGTTTGCAAGACCTGAACAAAGCAGTTAATGATAAAGCTTTCTGGAGGTCCTTAATTTATACGATCACTGTCAGTTGGAAGCGACTTGATAGCACTTAACACACCCATGGTACCATACCACACCATGCACAAACACACCAGTGCATTTGGAAGATGTACTTGCTCGCCTCCTTCTAAGCATGGGCAGCTGCTCTAAGCAGCTACAGCCACATAACTGGTATCAGCTGAATGATGGTTGAATGCATAACAAGTGCAATCCATCCAAGTGCTTGTTTAATAAATCATAGTATTTCAAAAAGTGGCAACAGTTATGTTCCCTCAACATCTGAAATATTTATTGTGGGACATAAGTTTAAAACGGCGGCAAGACAAATACTGTACTGCTTTCAGCAATTTGCTATTTCACTCCCGCTTTGTTAGCGGCCTTGAATTTATTTATTTTTTTACAGAAGAAAAGTGGGAAGTTATAAGGAACCAAAGCATTTTTCGAAGTACAAAAGGGTTTTTTTTAAAAAATAAAATAAAAAAAGAATTTGTTCTATTTAGTCATTGGAGGGTTTATTTTGAGAAAAAGATTAAGTTAATGATAGTTGTTGCAACTAAAATGAATTCCGCTGTTAAGACTCAATAGCCATTATCCACTTTATCATTGCCGCCACTATAGTAGAGTGATGCTTTTTGTCTTAGCCTTGTCATGTTTAAGGAAAATACTCTGGAATTCACAAGTACAATGTTAAAAATTGAAAAGGAATGGCTAGTAAATTGTCTGTTATGAAAACCATGAATGTAGTGGATGTTTAAGTAGCTGTTACCCATTTCCTCAAAAAAAGGCAGTCTTGGCTTACATGACCAGTAGAAATAATGCTATGTAGGAGAATCAAGTAGCAAACCTGAAATGTTTCTGCCCTGCTTTATCAGTGCCTGATCCCAGTTCCTTACCGTGATCGAGTATTATCAGCTGGGCTCCCGCCTGTACGTTCCCCACATCATTTTCTGCAATGCACTGATAAAAGCCTTCATCCGATTTCACCAGGCCCAAAACCTGCAGGTTATGCTCCTTCTAAGAGAGAGCACAAATGCTATCATTTTCTATCCATGTTTAGTGAACGATAAGCTTGGTAATGTGTTACCAATTACAATTGCAAGATTAGGCTCTTAGCTGTCTGCGGATATCATGTACTGCAATAATTTCTCAGAGAAATTCCAAGGCAAGGAGACTTCTCAAAATACTTTCAGATGACTAGCAAAAGCCCAGTACTACACTGCACCCCCTTATCAATTTGACTGGGCCATCCACAATCTCTTCAATGGAATATGGACATATCTTAAGGTGTGTGCTTTAAGACTCCCTGCCTTAGTGCAGAAAAGAGACTGTTCCATTTTACAAAAAGATTACAAAGCCCTTCTTCCTAGCTAAGCCCAGTGCATCAATACATGATCAGCTCGAAAAGTAAGACCAGCAAAAAAGACTTATATGTGACCCAACTTTTCAAAATTCTTGAACACATTGCACAATACAGGGGGTCAGTTATTTGAAGACTCAAGTAAAGATCAATACTTTTCTGGATCATTCATATACTGGCAAGCATACAGTAAAATCCAGCACTCTGTAGATTTAACTAAAGTATTTAGTAATAAGCAAATCAGTATCATGGGATATGTAAACTTACAACAATTTTGAAGTAATCACTAGGAATCACCACGTCTCCATTCTTGACCCACTTCACTGTTGGAGTTGGTTTCCCTGTCACATCGCATTCAAATATAATATCCATGGACTCATGTGCATAGATATTAGAAGGCTTCTTCAGAAACTTGGGAGGAACTTTAAAGAAAAAAAGAAAGAAAAGGCAATTATTGACACGCGTAGCGTATGTTGTTTGACGACTTCATAAGACAATATGGAAAAGACGGGTACCTGAAATATATACAGTGGGGCTACGTGAGATTTTGAAAGACATCTGATATACTATCCTGAAGCAGAATTACACCCTTCCTAAATCCATTGATGTTGATGTGCTTAGAAGAGAGGAATTCTGTTTCGGATTGTAGTGTAATATAACTAAGGGCCAAATTTCAGAAATAATTATCATCAATGTTCAATAAATAATCAAGAAATATCCTTTAAATATGACTGCTAATTTATTAAATAATTTTAGTTATTACCTTGCCCTTTTACAGGACTCATGAAGACAAATACTATCAAAATCTCAATATAGATTCTTTTTTGATAGGCAAAACCTTGCTTGCTTACCATTGTTAGAAAGCAAGTCCAGCTTTAATATTTTCTTTTTCGTTTGTTGTCGTACCTGAGGAAATGAGCTTCGACTCACAAAAAGGGTTGCCAGTGTCAGGTTGGGAAATTCCCAGAGATTTTTGTTGGGGGGTGGAGCCTTGGGAGGACAGGGTTTGAGGAAGGGAGGGACCTCAGTGAGGTAAGCATAGAGTCCACCCACCAAAGCAGCCATTTCCTCCGGGGGAACTGATCTCTCTTATCTGGAGATAAGCTGAAATTCTGGGAGATCTCCATCCCCCACCTGGCAACCTTACTCAAAAAACACTTATATCCCAGAACAGAAATGTTCGTCTTTAAATTGCCACTGGACTCAAATTTTGACTTCTTATCAATTTAACTCAACAGAACCAAAACACCCTCCAAGGAAACTAAAATTGCCCCCCCCCCACTTAAGCAACCAAGGTTGTAGTTGATTAATCTGTCAGATACATCAATTAAGGCTTGAGGCCCTTGTCGAAATATTTTCCTGCAATTTCAGCAAAATGAGAACTATGATTAAGGACAAAGAAGGTACTGCACAGCAAAAGGGGCCTAAATAAAAGCAGACATGAGTTACTGCTCATTAAAAAAAAATCCTGTATGGATTTCATTAAGTATCAAATAGGCTTGAGCTGGTTTCCCAACAGCAATCAAATGTGGCTGGGAGGGAAGGAATCTCCACAAACATGGGTCTGGGCTATATGCTTGTCAATGGGGAAGCACATCCCTGGAACACACATCTATAAACTGGGCCTAAAAGATGCCCTTCTGTGTGCAAAAGGTGTGTTCAGATTATGCAATGGCTGCTTTAAAACTTGTGCTAACAAACTGCAGAAGGGAAGTGAAACTAGATCCAAAATTTCTCTTCTGTCTGTGCAAGACTACGCACTAGAGTCTGCACATCATCATCATCATTATATTTCTGGATCGCCCAGTCCCTGAGTACACAAGGCTCTGGGTGATTTTAAACAGTTAAAAACAATATAGAATTACATACTACTATCAAAAATCAATTGGTCCTAATTTAATAGTCTCTAGATGGTGTCCATAACTTAATCCAAAACCTACTCTGGACTGCTCGTCTATCTAGTGGGCGGGTTAGGGAGGAGGCTGAAGTGGGCAGAATGGAAGAAAAGAGGGGGGCAGCTATGATGCAAAACCGTTGCTGTCCTCAACCAAAAGCCTGGCAGAACATTTCTGCTTTACGGGCCCTGTGGAACTGCGGAAGTCCCACAGGGCCCCGATGGAAGTTGGCAGAAAGTTCCGCCAGGTTGGAGCCAGGGCCGAAAAAGCCCTGGCTCTGGTTGAGGACAGCCGGATATCTTTTGGGCCAGGGATCACCAGCAAATTGCTCTCAGCGTAGCGCTCTCCCTAGGACACACCAGAGGAGACTGTCCCAAAGATATGAAGGTTCCAGACTGCTCAAGGCCTTAAAGGTCAACACCTTGAATCTGACTCGGTATTCCACTGGAAGCCAGTGTAGCAGGCGCAGCACAGGTTGTATATGTGCCATCCATGGTGTTCCTGTCAGGACATGCACCATTGCATTCTGAACCAGCTGGAGTTTCCGGGTAAGTCTCAAGGGAAGGCCGGCGTAGAGCGAGTTACAGTAGTCTAGTCTAGAGGTGACCGTTGCATGGATTACTGTGGCTAGATCAGGACGCAACAGGAAAGGGGCCAGTTGCCATGCTTAGCGTAGGTGGAAAAATGCCATTCTGGCAATATTCATGACTTGGGCCCTCCATAGTTAGGGAGGCATCCAGGACCACACCCAAACTTCTGATGGATTGTGCTAGTGGTGCCCCGTCATGGGTGGGAAGTTTGTGCCCCAACTCTGACACACACACCCGACAGCCACAGAACCTTTGTCTTTGTCGGATTCAGCTTCAGCCTATTCTTTTTTAACCATCCCACCACGGCCTCCAAACCCCTGGCCAGATTATGTGGGGCAGTGTCCAGGCGGCACAGCTGTGCAGTAGCAGATATAGCTGGGTGTCATCAGCGTACTGATGATGACACCCCAGCCCAAAACTCCATACCAGCTGGGCGAATGGGCACATATAGATGTTAAATACCATCGGGGAGAGGACTGCCCCCTGAGGAACCCCACATGTTTAGGGGTACCTAGTTGACACCCTCTCTCCCAGCACCACCCTCTATCCCCAACCATGGAGGAATGAAGAGAGCCAATTCAGGACAACCTCCTGAACTCCTATGTCGGTGAGGTGGTGAGTCAGAAAATCGCAATCAACTGTGTCGAACACCGCTGTGAGATCAAGCAACAGCGCCAACTCGCCTCGATCCAGCTGCCTGCAGAGATCATCTCTCAGGGTGACCACCACCGTCTCCATCCCGTGGCCAAGGCGAAAACCGGACTGGAATGGATCCAATGCCGATGTATCATCCAGGAAATTTTGGAGCTGCTTGGCTACTATTCTCTCAATTACTAGTTTATGCAAGTTCGAGAACCCATCTATATAGCAGTGTGTAAACCCTTGCACAGCTAGGGTTACCAGCCTCCAGGGTTACCAACCTCCCACTATTACAAATGATCTCCAGATGACCACAATCAGTTCCCCTGTAGAAAATGGCTGCTTTGGAGGGTGGTATTATACCTTGCAGAGATCCCTCCCTTCCCAAACCCCACCCTCCTCCTCAGGTTCCACCCCCAAACTCTCCAGGTATTTCCCCACTCAGAGCTGGCAACCCTATCCACAACCTTTGGCACAAAGGACATCACAAGCAGCCATCTTTCTTCTGCTCACCATTCATTGGCTCCAGCCCAACAACTTGAAGAGAAAGGTTGGCAGTGCCTTGCTTACCAAACAAATAAGATGAGCCAAGAGTATTTATTCCTTTGTTTCCAGCAGCTGGTCCCAATAAAAGCTTAGTATTTTACATCAGATAAACTAACATAATTACTCAGTACTAAACTCAAGCATATCTCCAAGACCTACCTTCAAATGAATTTGCTTTGATGGCATTAGGATGTTTACATTTTATCAATGAAAGAATGTTTTAGACCGAGAACAGGGAAAAGAGGACGCCACGTTGATTGCAAATGTTTAATGTGAAGCACATTCAATTCATCGGACATTTTCTTTCCATTAATGAATTTCAGAACGCTTTCAAAAATTATTTTGTTGCAGCGTGACTATTTCAGTGCTCAGAATTCATACCAATTAAACCCAGATGCAGATGTTTGTGGCAGACAAGTTAAACTGATAATCAGAGAGCAAATGAACCAATTAGATAAAGTAAGATTTTAATAGAAAATTGCGTGTTTCAGCACAAGACAATTAAATTTCAAAGCAGCCTTGGAGGCCTGTTTTTCCCCTTTACCTTTCCTACTGCCATTATCACCCAGAGAACAATTACGTATGTTAAATGTGCAATTGTGTTCTGTATGATGGGTGGATAGTACGCATTTTTGATTTCAATACATTTATCAGGGAGGGAGGGAGGGAGGGAGGGATTGCTTTCCAAGTCTTGGAAAACTAGGTAGGGGAAAACCACATACACTGACATCATTAAGTGTCCTGTTCCAAAAAATAATTCTGCAACTGAATGGCTGCCTCTCTCATGAAGCAGCAGCTGGTATAAAGCTTCATTAATGTATAAAGCCTCAGTTTTTAAAAAGTCTTAGCTGAAATGCAGCAGAAGCAAGTGACTGCAGATCCATTAAGTCAGTATCAGTATCCGCACTGAAGATATTTTAGACCCATATCAGTGGCTAATTTAGCCATATTTTTGTCCCTTAGGATTTCTCCAGAGCCATTACAAAAGAAACCATTTTGCAAAATGACATATGTCATTGATAACTCGGTGTTAAGTTTCTCAATGGTATTTTGTAAAATTAAATATTATTTTCTACAATGCTTGCAACTGACCCACCCCCAAACCCTTTCAAAGAAAGCTAGCTAAAATGAAATGAAACAAAAAGGAAGATAAATGTAAAAGTATTAACTTCTTGACAAGCTGGTAAACAAGGAAACACTGCCCATTTTACTACTCTCTACTATGTGAGTTTTAAAAAAGAAGGTGACCAAAAAGAAGGGGAAAGCTGTCTGTAGTCACTTCAGGCAGTGGTGGTGGGGAGGCCATTCTTTCCTGATAGTGCTTCAGATACTGGATATTAACATAATTTTGTCATCTTCCGGAAACCAAAAACTCCCTCCATGGAATCCCTGACACATGCACAAGCATCTAAGCTTGCATCTTCTACCACTCCCAAGAAATTACTGTTTAAGCTGTAGCAACAAGTATGACTTTTAACAATTTCTCCCACTACACACTTTCTCCAGTAAAAAGACATAAGCCAGATGTGTGCAAGACTAATCAAGAAAACGATGGTCACACATGTGGTCCTTGTTATCTTTGTTATTTCTATAATATATTTTCCTTAGCATACTTTTGTGCACCTCCATGATCTGCGTTATTTATACAGTGCTTGCTTGCTTTCTGAACTTTGTGTACTGTGTTATCACACCAGAGTTCTGCAAGGACAGAGACCTGTACGTACAGTTAAGATCTTTGCCTTCTGCTTTAGC